TCTCTATTGATCAATGAGGCTGCCGCCGACCTCGCAGCTGATCCGAGTTATATGATTACCCTGCAATCCCCAGCATGCGACGCTGGCAGTATTTTCTCATTGCGCTTAGCCGGAAATGACGCGGCTTCAAATGTCGGCCAGTTCGGTATAGGCATTGCTTTGAGTTCCCGGGCTAAAGCTGCGCTGATCGATTGGACCCCAGACAGCAGCCGGATGTGCGCTTTCAGATTCGCTACTTCGTTCAAAACTTCAAAGTCAAGCGGGTACAACCCGTGCCTGTTTGTCATTGGAGCCAACGCGCCCACAAATTGTTGCACTGATTCGGTGAAAGACAACTTCTATCACCAATTGAACGCGCTCTTTCATTACCGAAATAGTATGAATGCTGTAGTGCTGGCTGCCGATTTGAACTCCCAACTTGGGAAACTGTACATTGCTGAGCCTTATCTGGGCGGCAAACGGCGTAGACTTCCGTAATGATAATGGTGAACGATTGCTATACCTGTGTGAAGGTCATTTCTTTCTCGTGAGCACTAAGTCATATGTTTCGAATGCGTATCAAAGTACGTTGTTGTCTGGGTTGAGTAAGCGCCCACTGAACGCAGTCGAAAATCCTTGTTCGTATATCCACCAGACGTTATTAGCATCAGGCATGTCTTCGTGTGGCAAATCAAACCGCCGACCTGTACTTTGGATCTCTGCGCAGTCTCTGGAACTTGTTTATGCTCGCCGACACACTCCGGCTGGAAGCAAACACAACGAGACTTCCAAAGATCTCATGGCGTAACGGAGTTCTAGTCTAAAGAGAGACGGAATTCTAGTGGTCTCATCGTGCATCAGAGATAAAAATGGTCGTTTCCCTTGGTAACTATAGGTGTTTATGCCATCTCATACGCGAAACGAGTAGCAGGAGACCTGGTATTAGCGAGACCATATGCGATGACGGTGGACAGTTGATCCACAGATTGGAAAGCGCTTAAAGCGTTGGGCCGAACATTTTGAGGAGCAAAGACCGTATCCAAAATGGAGATGTTTCAGTGTTGATCCTCTCAACACTGGCAGAGTGAGAGTTTATGACGAACTGTCGCCGCCCTTTAATATCTCCAGAGATGTGGGACAAGTTTGCCCGCTGTCACCTTTCTTCTTTAACTTCGCCATTGACGAAGTCGTGGAAACAGCATTCACTGGGTACGACTTAGATGGTGATGAGATTCTTCCAGATGACCGATTCCTTGACTTGAAGTAAGCCGACGACATTGCTCTAATCTGTGACAGCTCCGAAACGGGTCAAATAGCACTGGATAAATTAGCTCTGACTGTCAGTCCTTTCGGGCTACGTTTCATACTCACAAAATTCAAAGTTCGTCATAGTTGGCAAGCACCCACCCGTGCACTGATCCTTAGTGGTGACCAGCTAGTAGTCATCAGAGATCGAAATATCCTGGCAGCTATGTTAACGCCCGTAGGATCGAAGACAAGGTTATGAACCGTATAGCAGAAGCCCGTGACGCCTTTGCCAATCTCGGCCACCCGTGGCGCCGGCGTGACTTCGCTCTCGCCCTGAAAGGTAGCGTTTACAATGCAGCCGTCCGTTCAACCTCCCCTGTGTGGTTGCAAAACCTGACACATCAGGTCGACAGACATAAGGAGGCTAGTTACGTTCGATTGTCACTGCCATCGCAGATAATTTGTCTGATGGAAATACCGCGTGAATAATGGGCGTGTTCAGCGCGCGTATTTGGTACAGGAAGAGCGAGTGAATGCCTCATCACCGTTATTTTACGCACCATACTCCGATGGCTGGATCGTGTGTTGCGCAGGTCAACGCACCGACTCCCGTCACATGCGTTGTTTACGCGCCGGGGTTGTGGATGGAAGAAGCGGATGATAGGTCGATGGGTACAGAGACCCTCACTTCTGTCTTGGCGTCGGTTAGTGTCTGCCGGGCTTGAATCCGAGAGACTATGAACGCGTTTGATTGGATATGTACGGAACCGTCAAGTAAGCATACCAAGTCAATCGAACAGTAGGTTCACCTCACATGAATAAGTTCTGATTCTATTCGGCGTCGGACGACAGCAGAGCGCAGTGTGCTTAAGTATTCTCACGTGTATTTCTATAGTCGATCTGGCAAGCAGCCGAGCGCACAATTCGCAACGACACGGGCAGCAAGCAAGGCAGAATCAGGGACAAAGTAGCTTGGATAAATTGTGCATCTCAGTAGTCAATTAAAACACGGTGTACATAGACTGCAACAAAATATGAAGTCGTAAGCATAACAAATAAGCAAATTGTTTGTACTCGCTACAGCTACTATAGTTAACATGGCGAGGAGCCGACCTCAATGGCCTTTGTGTTGTGACTTTGTTCCTCCTTATCCCGCTCATCTTCCACCTCCAACCACGATCTCACACGCGATGCTTAATTTGTTACTATGGATCATATTGTTTTTCGTCTTATATTGTATTATGTAATGTGTTGTCTTTGTATTGCAGTACATTGCCTTCAGCTAAGGATTATGGGCTGCCGCAGTGAATTTGTGGTCTTTACAGCTCCGTCCTGGGCGGAAACCAGCTGGATCTTCCCTAATCCGGGATTCTCGTTCTGCGTTTAGGCGACGCACAAAAATTGAGAATAGTAATTTTGTCACCACCAGTGTTAGGCTAATACCCCTATGGTTAACACAGTTGGTTCGACTGCCCTTTTATATTACCACTATGATCCATTTGCTCCGGTTAACTGGGGTGGTCTCCTTCTTCTTGACCTATTTTAACAAGTAGGTCAGAGTTTTGCAAATGGCTTCACCAGCATCCTTATATAATGCAGGTGGGAGGGAATCCTGGCAAGTAGTTCGAAAACGATTAAAGGCTTTGATCGCGTTTCAGACCTCAGCTCCCGATATGGCTATTAAGCTAACTTCACCCCAGCCTGCACCATCTGAGTAGAAAGAGGTCCAGAAGCAGGAACCAACTTTCGAAAGTGCTCGTTATTGTGAATCAGGGCACTCGTGCTGTCTCTGATTTTCTTTCTAACTCCTTTTCTTCTGGGACCAATGGTGCGATTCAGTTGGAAGAGCTTGAGATAATTCCAGCATCCCATTTCTTGAGGTCGGCTTGTACGCCAGACCTCCTTGTAAGCAAGTAGGCTCCCATTTAGTCGTGCCTTATAGTCCTTCTGGTTACATAGTTCAAAAACATCCGGGAGTTTTGTTTTGGCCTCCAACATCTTCACCGACTTCTCGGATATCCAGTGACTGGTGCGGTGATGATGAATAGTACCGCAAGCGGAGGCACCTGCATGTTGCATGGCGGCCGAGATCCTATTCCATTGAAAATCAGTGCCATTAGGGCAAGCGAGGGAAAGTTCGATACGTAGTGCATCCTGGTAGGCTTACCTGACCGAGGGCTTATATAATTTATCATTTGTCTTTCGACAGTGGCGCTTAGTACGCCTCCCAGCAAAGGTCACTGTAAGACGACATCGGCGTGATCAGAATCGACGCAAGTACTCCACAAAGAGCGACAATCCAGGATGAAAGCATGTCACCTGTAACTTATGTTAATGTGATCTGTTTGGATCCGTCGCTGACCAACTATAGGGAAACACCAAGTGGCACTTCGGCGTCCACTGTGTTTAAAAGCGGGGATAATAGGAAATAGCCGGTACTCCGCACACATTTGCAACAGACATTCATCGGTGCCCGTTCGGTCGGAGTTAAGTACATACCTTACCGTCTGGCTGAGTTTCTGAAGATCCCAGATGACCTGCTTGCGCATTCTTATCCCCTGCAATCGCAGCGATATCTGAACTGGTACCACTGCGAAGCAGCGTGTTGAGTTCGTGGTAGAAATTATCCTTGCTACCACCAGAACCGCAATCGTTGATAGCATAAGTGGAACTCACAGACAGTGTCTTTTACTATGTGAATTTATCTTAGTTGATGTTGCCAAAGGGACTACACACAAATGGCTGTTCAGGGGAATCCAGTCAACCATCGATGACAGCCTTAGAGCTGAAAACGATGCCCCCTTAGCCTGACCAGTTGCCGCATCAGCGCCTTTGGATGCATGAAACCAACAGCGAGGTAAGGATCAATTATCCTAGTTTCGGACACGCAACAGACGCCAATTCCCTATGTGTCTAACGTGCGTGCGAGTGCAGCCCGTTGACTTATTTGCCTTAGAGTGCGAAACTTGAACGCTGCGAGGAAAACGAGACAGCATGGCCTTGTAAGGGATTGTTGGCGACTAGCGTCCAGTGGAAAAGCAGTTGCAGATAGTTCGACTCTAGTAGCATTACGGCTGCTGTCAATTAAGCTGTGAATGTTGGTTAGTAATGGGGGTCGGGATTGGAGTAAGAGAAACAGGTGGAAAAGAAAGATGGGAGGCGCCAGCAGTAACATATTTTCGCTTATCCGCCTTGCTGTATGCAGCAGATAAGGCGACTCTTGATAATCTGCGCGATGGATGATGCAGGATATAGTTAAAGTTTGTGGAAATGGTCATGGTTGTATGTGGGCGGAGATACTGCCAGGACGTCCAGACATAGTTAGGAGGAGGATTAGGGTGCTCTTCTCAAGCCTTTGGCTCAAAAGCCCGTCCACAAGGCAGCGGGAAGGTGGCAATGATTTAGTTTTACAGAAATAGACGCCATCGCATTTCCAACCCCCAAGCTGGAGGACCAGGAGATTGAGTTTGTCTGACCTCTCCCTATTGACTAACCTTGTAGGAGTAGCTCTCAAGGGCTCGTCGCACCACACAGTATAGATAAATGGGTTGATGAGGTATGCAAACCGTCGCACTACGTTTAGGTCCAGTCTCGTTGCTGCAACACTAATCGCTTTGTCAGTGGGATCTATTCTATCAGCCTTTGTCGCTTAATTTGTTCGGCTGCCTAGTCGTGATTGGCACTTTCGCACTTACTGTCACCTCTTCTTAGTAGCTGCGCTTCATTTTCCTCACTCAATCCCAATAAACCTTGAGGTTTTCAATTTATTTTAGCCAAATTTCTGCGGATGATGGTCCTTCTGATGGACCTTCGCAGTCGCTCACAGGTTTGTTGTCTACCTCGCCCATTTCATTCACGACTTCACCAACTTTGGCTCACTCTGATTCTGGTGAAAGCGGCCCGCAACGCCAGTTTGATGAATCTCCCATACGTCTTGGCCACACGTTACCTTCATGCTCCGGGGACCTGCCTCGTCTCTCTGCGACTTCTGTTTCCTCTAATTTTGGGCACCTGTATTTTAAATCCGAAGATCAAGTTGATATTCCAGGTTGTGCTATCGTTTCTTCAGTGGACGGCTCTCATCAATGTGATCAAGACTTTGTGGCAACTTGCGACCCCTCCTCCGAAATCACGGCACAGCATTCTTCTGAAGTCGTCACCTCAGCGGTTGAGGTGATCCGTCAATGGGCCGACTCTCTCATTTCTTTGTGTCGTGAGTTCCTCTTTTCTGCCTTCTCTTGTCCACTGGACATGAACCTATATTCTCTACGCATCTCGTTCGATTCCGTTTTTGGCTAAATGTCTTTCATTTGCCTCTAGAAAAACCAATGTCTATGCGGGGTGCTCAGGAAAACGCGATTACCGCTGTCAACGAATCAGTCAAATTACTAGTTATGCTTTCCACCCAAGAAAAACGGTCTACTGAACGCATTCATCCACAACTAGCCATGGAGGGTGACCGCATACCATCTGGCGCCACCTACCATCTCTCACCCACTGACACATCAGCGATCACTTTGGCGTCTTACCCACATCCTGATGAACCTAGCCATAGTTGCGTGTGTCAGCGATGTGGATTCCACACCGTTCTCAACCCGCAACGGGATGCACTGGCTTCCTCGAACGAGTCGAGATCACTGGGCATTCGTTTCACTCAGAAAAGCAGTCCCTTCCTATATAGACAACAACCTCAGTCACCAGATCAAGCCTCGTTCTCCTGGTCACCTACAGAACTGAGTCCACCGACCACTGAGAATTCAACCGAGGTGAGTTGTAACGGCAAGTTACTTCGTTTTCGAGCGCTGACTTCAAACTGTTTGAGAAGAAGCCAAATACACCTATCGATCTCTGCAGATCCTTTCGGGTGTACGTTATAACAACGTAATTCCTAATTTGTTGTCTAGTCCGTATGTCTATTGACTTCTTTTCTCGATGTGCTGTCAATGCAGCTAGTTGAGCGAAACCGCGAGGTGGCCAATCAATGATATGGTATAAGGACACGAAGAACTTGGCAGGGGTTTGGTCAAGCTGTAACCTATCGTCCTTTTGGACGGGGACGTGCGGGTGATTTGATATTTTGTCGAGCATGGTGCAGCTGCCGAGTCAACGTCACTGCTGCTGTCAATATTCTATCCATCATACTTTTGCCTTAATCCCTTTTATTCACGTTCGTTCAAACTTTACGTGATTTTACTCACCACTGTTTATTATTATTAACCCGGCGACGCGAGTCATGCCAACTAGACGCACCGCACATCGGCGCCTGGATCATAGTTGTTTTACTGGACTGGATTTAACTATCTACTAGCCTGCTGAACACATTTTATGGTCGTCGTCCAGTGTAGAAACTGATTTCAATTTACCCTCCTCTCCTTGACGCTTGTTTGAAACACATGTAACTATTCTGATGGTTAGCATTGCATCTCGTCTCATTTTCACATTTCAGTCCCATGCGGCTCCATTACCTTTACTTTACAAAACGGTAGTAGGGGGAGTTCAGTGCTATAGCTAGAAATTTATCACATCTTGACTCAGTCAGACAGACATCACACATCCGGAAAAGCACTGTACGGCCGTTTATTCCTTTTGGGAATCGTCAGCAGTGCGCATCTGACCCTTCTAGGGTTCCAACCTGTAACTCGACTGTTGATGTTCTCTGGTTGAGACCACCGAGCTACATGGGACGACAACGACCGTCGGGTCTAAGTTACTAGATATGATATAGCGCCGCTCACTATCCGTATTTCCATCATTTACTATCCGAGGAGCAGTGAACTAAGTCGTCGATTCCCCTTTCTTATCGCTGTGAATCAATGACTCTATTGTTCGTACACAGTATTACCACATCACTGATGGGACCCGTCTTGTGGCCCTTCAACAGAAAAATGTGATAGTACCTACACCAGTACGTTTTGGTGAACCGACTTGCCTGCTTCCATGTCACAGCCTTGCCACTCTCGATCTCCTTCAAACCAGACTCCTTATCTGCAACGAAAGCACCTGGGACGACTTAACTGCCATGCTATTTATCTTTGTTAACGGTCTAGATTGATCCCGCCGGTCGTATCGCTCAACACAGGCCGATGAGCTCTAGTAGTACAACTGTGGTCAAAAGTGTCTAGTCCCTTGATATTTTTAACCTACTGTATCAGTCTTTAGGCCATAAAGCAGTAACGGATACACCACATCGGTGCATACCTCGTTCTTAGTTGACAGGCTCGTCTCACGGTTTCTGTGATTTATCATGGGGCAAGGTGCAATTCTGATTATTAGTTCGTCCACATTTCACCTACTTCTTGTGTACATCTTGTCCTCCAACATAATGTTTACTTTCTAATATATCCTACACTTTATTGTGAGTCAATGCATGACATTACTATCACATACTTATTTCCTTTGTCTGCGCTAGCATCAAAACAGTACGCTCAACATTATGTAGGCAGCCGTGCTGAGGCTGGGATAACACATATTACGGATATTGATCCGGATTCGGTATGTTTGGTATGACGGCGCACGCTGCAGATGCTACCAAGGCGCCCACACGTCCTAGTCATCACCTTAAATATAGACCGCAAGTAGTCCCACTTATGGTTGGCACAGGTATAACATCCCTAGAATCGGTCATGTACTTATCCTGAACTAGTCATCACTCGTGCGCGTACTTCACCCGATTTCACTGATTGGTTATCAGGTGTGGATCCCACACCGATCAACTGGACACGCGTCTAATACCCTGAGTTCACTTTTTCCAGGCATTATCGTGGTCGTAAAGGAAGGCCGTCACTCACAAATTCCCCGATAAACATGTGGTAGGAGATGGTGAGGTCCAACTCAAAAACCACTGACTTCTTTCGTTCTTTTAAGCTTACACCAGAGACAGTGTAGCTTTGTGGTACAGCACACGGCATATACGCAATCTTGCTATTGCCATTCGCATCTGTAGTCTAGCAACCTCTGGATCTGACCTTACTCCTTCCATTCTCCACTACCCATGCACTTTGTGGCTGCGGCTGGGCTTTATGAGTTTTATGAATGAATCAAACATGCAGGGGTTTGTTACAGTACTCGATAACATCTAAGGAGGAGGACACCCAGTGCACTCTACTTGTTATTGGTGATTCTGACAGTGCACTTTGGGCCCATTGCAATATCATCTTCTATGGAAATGACACTCAAGATCTTCGTATAACTCATAGTGCACATTTCTTCGGTTAAGTGAGATAGAACTGAGCCATCAACCCAGGCGAACGCCTTTTTGAAATCAAAGAACGCAAGCGTATGAGGTTGAGGTGCTTGGACGTTCATCTAACACATACAGAATGAAAACGTAATTTCTTCATCTATGTCTAAACTGGGAACTTGCTGGTCCTTTAATCTGAGCTTTGTATTTCACTTTAAAACTGCATACGAAAGTGGGGCTATTGGTTTTACTACTTTGTCAATCTGATGCACGTATGGACAGTGCAAACATCGCAACTGCTCTTACTGAGTGCGTCCATCGTGACCTACTCACACCAGTCAGCTAGAGGATTCTCATCCATCCATACCGGATAAGTCAGTTTTGTGAAAGTGTTCGGGCTAGTGGCTTAGAAGTTGTTTAACAGGTTCTCTAAACTTTACTGTCGTGGTCCAACCTGCGCCACCTGTACACGGGTGGAAGGCTGCCTTCTCTTTCTGAACACGACCGCCCAGTGGATCGCACGACGTTCCTTGCTATTAATAGGGGAGCCGACACTACCCGTCTTTGTCTTACTGACAGATAATTACATGAGTCCATTTGCGCGTATCAGTTGGAGAAGTCCGCAAAAGCTACATATAGCTCTCTTCGTAGGTTCCTGGGCACTCTGACGCCAAACTTCCTTGTCAATTTGCAGGCTGTTTTAGCCGACTCCTAATACTAGTTGTGGTGTTGGGCTCGCTCCTGACGGGGATACTTCTAGATTTTATCAGGTTTGCCTTCTCGAATATAGTTTGTGTAGTACGGGGACGATTGGCAATGCTCCGGCGACATACATTGCATCAGGACATTATTCCATCGATACACAATGTGTTTTATTCAAGGCCCAACAATTAGGACTACACATGGGCTGGTCACGCTACCTAGCACTCTGCCGAGTTCGTAGTGAAAAGCGTCTTTCGCAACATCCCGACCACTGTCAGTTGGGGCCTAAACAGCCAAAGGCACTGCTTTGTACACTGGCCCTAATTGGCGTCGTTGAACTGGCGAGTCGCAGACGATTTTTCACGAAGTCCAATCAACCAATGGGAACTCAGTTCTGGAACTGAGAGCATTACCTTTTCGCTGCACCAACACCTTCAGACGGGCGCGGCAAATATCGACAAGATAGTCTAGGTGCAGTTCGACGTCCATGTAAAGGCCATGAGTTGTAGTGTCGGAGTTACATCATACTACGTTATCAAAGTCATCCGAGGTCTGTGCGCTCAGCTGCACCCTCGCCCGCATACCACTGTGCGGAGATTCAATTAAACTTACAAATTTACGCGAGACAACCAAACTTACCCAACACCAACCACAATGCCTCGCGGTTCGCCGTATCATATGCCTTGGTTAGATCAACAAACAGCGAGTACAACGGCTGGTGTCGTTCTCCGCACTTTCCTGCAACTGACGAGCCGCGAACACCATATCTATAGTGCGGCCACCCGAGCGCAATCCACGTTGCTCTTCCGCCATGTTCGGTTCCACCACCCGACTGATGAGGCGGTTGAGCAGGAGTCGGGCAATCCCCCCTTGCCCACACAACTCAGCAAGTTGATGCCACGATAATTCGTGCAACATTGCTTGCTCCCTTTACCCTTGTACAGTGGTAACACAAGGGCATCCAACAGCTCAGGAGGCACCTCCTCCTCAAGCCATACGCGTTGCACCAATTGGTGCAGCGCAGTCACCAACGCGTGTTTCAATACTTCAGGCTGGATCCCGTCGACCCCGGCACACTTGCCGTTTCGTAGCTGAGCAAGTGCTTTCTGCGTCTCATCCAGTGTCGGCGTGTCCACAGAACTCATTTCACATCGTGCTGCTTCAGGCCGTTCAAAGTAGGCCAGTCGATCTCTGAACGGTTGTTCAATAGACAGTCAAAGTGTTTTTTCCAGATGTGCATTATGTCTGCAGTCTGTGTGCAGGTAGCGCCTGAACTGCCATCGGTCAGCGTCCTCAGCGGCTCCAATCTCGAACCATACACCGCCTTCAAGGAGTCAAAGAATTCCTTGTGTTGGCGTCGTTAGGCGTAGCATTCCTTCTGCTTCGCCTCCTCCGTTCACCATGCAAGTTTAATGCGACGGAGCCCTAGAGTCAGTCGTTTTCGAAGTTTGCGAAACTCTTGTTCCCTAAGTCACCGGGGTCTGCGACATGTGCAGCAGATGCTGCATTCTTCTCAGCCACCAATGCGCAAATGGTCGCCTTTTTTCTAATCATTCCGGCCGCTTACAGTTTACGAGCCCGATGGTCTCCTCGGCAGCAACTGTCACCTGGTCGTGAATGTGGTGCCACTGGTCGTCCACCGTGGCTATGCATTTCACATCACACAGGCGTTCAGCCATCGCCTTCTCCAGCTCAATACGCTTCCCCACAGTATTGAGGGAGGGAATGCTAAGTTTACGCCGATTCACGACAGGAGTGCAATACATAGATTTGCGAAAATATATATACATTTTAGTTCGCACCAGCTTGTGATCAGTTCCACACTCAGCTCCACACAGTACACGTGCCATGCGCACTTCACGCATGTCACGTTGACGTACGATGACATAGTCGAGAAGGTGAGTGTGACCACCCCGCATGTGCGTCCAAGTTGCTAGATCACTCGCACTCAGTGCAAACCAAGTGTTTGTGATCGTCAGACCGTGAGTGGCACACAGTGAGAACAGCCTGTCACCGCATTCGCTGAACCAATGCCATGCAGACCGATAACATCTGTCCACACTGATACATCACGCCCAACGCGCGCGTTGAAATCACCCAGTAGAAGTGGTCGGTCGCTCCTCGTAGGATAGTTGAGTGTAGAATTGATCACGCGTGGCATCAGGATAACACATGGTCGGACCGTACGTGCTTATAAAGGTGGCACACTTACCTCTTCCGAGTTGTAGGCGAAGAGTCATCAGTCGCGCGATGATGCCTGTTGGTTCACCCACGAGTTGGCCATGGAGGCGGTCGGATATTGCAAATCCGACCCCATGATCACGTGGTGCTGAGGCAGCGTTGCCCACCCAGTGGAACGTGTAGCCAGCACCTGCTTCATGTAACTTACCTTGCTCAGCGAGCCGAGTTTCACTGAGCTCCGCAATATCGATGTAGGGATCCAGTTCCATCGCGACCAGTGCAGTGCGTCGCTCAGGGCGCTCACTCGAGTTCCGGTCCAGTAGTGTGTTCACGTTCCAGCACCATATACTGTACTTTTCTCGCAGACATACGACTGCATTGGTGAGCAGTCACGCGCGTGATAGTGGTTGTGATTTGGAGATTTGCTTGAGAGACTCCACCCGGAGCCTTTGGCTCAATAGCTTGACCCATAATGCAGTGGGGTGCAGATCCAAGACCCATTGGGATCTGCTTGAGATCCGTCGCACTCAGCCTTCGAAAATCTGGGAAAATTCCAAGTGTTGCGACCGTAATACGATACGCACCGGCGATCACGGCCAGACGCAATAGGCTTTTGGCGGGTGGACATCAATGTGACCAGGAGCTACCTGGCTTTTGGCAGGCATGAGCAAACCATTGAGAACCTGGAGGTGCCCTCCCATCGTCAGAGACAATACGTGGCGCTCGTGATCTGCGCCAATCGGGATGTGAGCTTAAATCCGTGGACCTTATGTCTCCCATGGCTAGGTTTTACGGGAAGTGCCATCGACCACTTCCTAACCGAAGAGGATAGGGTTTGAACTGGGATACTGGCAGGGCGCCCACACCTGACAGGAGAACGACTCGGGTTCTCATACAAAGCCTTCGTTTAAATGTACACCCGAAAGGCAGCGGGTCTAACATATGATCAGTTCACTGACTTTTGCGAATTGGTGTCCTGGCTCTTGGATAGAAGAAGGGCATAACCCAACTCCCACTCGTGGTGTGAGCCCATGGCACTACAGTAGCAGCAGTGGGTCGACCATCTATCAGAATCTAGCCGCCACCAGCCTCAGCGCACCATGGGCTCTTCCGTCACACGCCTACTTGTACATATACATGCATTCATATATCAGCATGTGTGAATCCTATTGTTCCGTTGTACATTAACTGATCACCTTTTGTGCTCTTATCATGATTATGCCTGTTCAAGCGTGCCTCACGTTGTCGAAACTAAACCTTTTATTCATTTATTTATCTAAGTAATCGCCTTAGCAGCTTACATGACACCTCGATCGGTGGCGGCTTGCAAATGAAGTTTTTGCTCTGGGATCCAGTCCTGTCCTATGCATGTTCACAACCTACATGACAGTGGAGGGTGAGCTGCGCTATATCAGTTCGATATCAGTCGTGGCGGTCCGCTGCCGTCAGTGGAACAAGTTGCTGGCTAGTAAGAGTAAGGTTATGGATCCGAATCCTGTAGGCTTCGGCGCATGTGCGCTATTAACCATTCCGAATAGGACGAGACACCCTCCCAGCGCTTTTTTTGGATGTGTGATGGCTGTCTGGCTACGATGAGTCTTCTCAAGAACAATTAATCCCTCCATTACACACATAAACATCCGTGGATTTTCACACTACTTGTATGCTCTCAGTAGTTGCTCGCCAAACACGATTTTGCGTCACATCAGTTGACTTCTGGTCGGGGCTGGGATTGGGAGCGTACGAGGAGAATAACCGTTTCAAGCGCAATTCTATAGAAGGGATACTATGGAACACTTTATACGCCCATTTTAGTGCACATTAACTATAAGTTTGCCTGCTTGAGGAAGCCTCTGAGTGGCTGCTGGATGACAGCTAATGAGAATAAACTAATCGGGGGGATGCAATTATTCAGGTTGGTCTGTACCGTTTTCATGTACCGTGTATCGTGTTCGCCTACGTTTTTAATCGAAATTCCTATGTGAATTGATCCACCCACATTGCCAAACACGTTCTCGTTCCACCTCATTTCTTGTACCCAATTGAGTGTTTTTTTTGTAATTTGCAATGGCTGCTGCGGATTTTTTAAAACTAATTTCAATGAACACGCAGAACTGTACAACTGAAAAAGTGGCGTTAGGAGCACGAGTATCACTCGGATAAACGGTCCCAAATCTGCATCCTGTTGACGGTACAGCGTCGGAGCCCCGTTTATCGATGTAGGCAATGATTCCTCAATTTATTAAACGTCTTCTGATAACTTCGCGTAGTACACACAGTATCTCCAAGCTCATTTTCAGAAAATCAGCGGACTACAGCATTATTGACATTGTGACTAGTCTGACTGAAGTAAATGTCAGAAATCTTAGTTAAAACTGGTCAATCTTCAGCAGATAAAATAAGAGCAATGTTCCTGTGAAAAGGCAGCGGTCGACTTAAAGACCCCTCCGCACGTTACTTGCCCTGTCATCGAGTTTTATTTTGCTTGCATTCCCCCAACACTTATTGTTATTTTTTTATCCTTGAGACACATTAGTGGTGTCTTAAACAGCCACAGTTTTGTTCGGATCGTAATTTAGTGAATGAACGGAAATGTATGTGAGTCTACTCCGAATTCGCGTTTCGGCGAGTTTCAGTGTGTGCATTAATTGGGACGAGCCAACACATCGGGTTTCACTCTCCATCACTCTACTCGCTTCCTAGGTCGTCCACATGATTTTTCATCTCACCATCGAGAGTCAGGTCTCATCGGTCACATCGAATGACTTGGGGGTACCTGTACGGCTTATGCAAGCTCAAATCTTGTCCATTACTTTTTTGCACGGTTCACCATAATCTCGATCGATATCCCAGTTGCTGACTTCCGTTGATTTTTGGGCACCTGAGGTTTCCATGTGCATCGCCGTAGCATGTAATCTTTTAATCCTGCTGAGTTAGGCAAATCTGTCTCCGACCATTTTGCCTTTGTGTTCAATTTTTGACAAACTCAGCCGCGTTTGCGCTTATCCATTGTTTTAAGTTCCCTCAGATTACACCACCCGAACCTTCGATGTTGTCCGCACTTCCTCAGCTTCAACAATTCGAATCGACGTGCATTCGCGATAAGATCAGCCCTGGGAGTGTATCTTCTTCAACTGAAACTTCAGTGCAGCATTCAGAGGCAAGACGTCACGTTTGCCAAAGTTCAGGATTCAAATTCCCGTTTTCTGAAGTATCTGATCGCGCTTACCCTCCTTACAGGAAACAGCGCACGCTGTCGGAGACGGCTGTATCTACTGTATCATCTGTTGCGACCACTCTGCACTGTACCATAGGCCCTTCGGGTATGAGATCTGAGGTAAAGAAATGTCGAAAGGTATACGGAATCGAACATCGGGATCAGTGGTGCAACCAGTGTCGCTGGAAAAAGGCTTGTCGCCGTTTTCCAGACGCTCCTTCTCCAAACCCAATCTCCTCAAAACCGATCAAATCGGATGCGGCGGCACCCAGCGAATTGGCTAGGGACGAATTTGAACTAGTGAGCACCGATCCCCTAGCGCAGTTATCCACGTCTGCCGGTTCAATTTTGTGACTGCTCCTCATCCAGGTATCGTTTTTCACTTCGGCACCACTTCATCTCAGTCATTGACATTTCCCGACTACTATACGCTTCGCTGCCGTTGCTCTCATCTGAGTGTCTTTTTGACACCCACTCACCGGACATTATGGCATTACTTTTCTTCAGACTGTATTTTCCGGTGCCTTCATTGAAGCATCACTACTATATCAACGTGGCTCATTACATTGCATTTTGTCCACACAGCGAAACACGCTTGGATAGTACCATCGTTCACCCTCGTCCGCTCACTAAACTTTCATGTTGTCATCAAATTTCTCCACCTATGTCATGATGGTTCATGCTACTCTATGGATGCCTTTTTCTTTCCATTCTTCTTTTGATACTCCGGTTTACTATACATCTTGGCTCATCATCTACTTTTTACTGGCTTACTGTTCATACAACGTCTCATTCCATTGATTTTGGATACATGAAGCCATTTTGCCATTCTCTATTGTAGCGATCGCCGTATTTTCGATCTCCCTACCCATTTTGTGCGGCCATTTTTGTACTATTCTTCTACTGGAGGCCTTTCCCTCCTTTTTTACTCCGAGTCCCTTCATTTTCTGTTTTTCTATGTGCCTGTTCTTTTAATTCACCAAACACCCTGGTCTTTCATTTGTATTTCCCTTCCCCTCCGCCATCGTCCACCACGTCCGCTGCATCAAAGTGCCCTGGGCCTTTTTGACCCCCAAAAAGTTTATGCGATTCTGAAAGTTAAAAACGCAAAGGAATCCTCTTGAGACTTTCAAATATCTCCGTATTTTTGCTTTGTTATTTTCCTACTTCATTTTCTATTTCGGACATCGTTTCTGTGTTTGCATCACTTCCGTGCTCATTACCAAGAGGAAGACACGTCCTCTTCATCCGTGTGTTGTAGTTTACTACGCTCTCGGTGCATTTCACGACATTACCATTCGTCATTTATCTGCCCATTTTCTATCGAAATTCCATGCAACCCGGTTCATCCATCAGATCATTTTAGTGTCATTTCTTATTCACACAAGAGCATATTCTGTTTATTTTATTGTATGCCATCGGATTTCGACATGCTCAAGCCACGATCATTGTCTTTGTGGCTCGTTTACTGCCCACTTATGCTGACTTTCGCGTTGGCAGCTGTGATAGTTCATTCGTCTTCCTTCCTGTATTATCCATCTGCATTTTCCCACTTTTCGTCACTGTCATTCTTGCCTGCACGAGCGCTGACAAAACTGCGGCACCTGCTTGCCACCTTATCATTTAAACCAGACACTTTGTGGTCTTTACGATTCGCGCCATTTTGTACTGGGCACATTTGTCAACCGAACTTTCTCGTCGAATTGCTGACCCATTCTGTTGATTTTTATAACAGGTACCGTTCCAGCTAGTCCTTGGTTGTGACGTCCTCTTTCAACACCTTGGTGGTAGGGCACTCGGTTCCGCAGTAGGATGGCTTATCTAGTCGTGTTAACCACAGCTTCCGCTTATCGGCTCAGCCTCATACTGTCTGTTTTCGTAGTTTCCGACTTCCACTTTTTTCCTCCTTTAATGCAATCACTACCAGAATAAAGCCATCTTGGTCTCACTAATCTTCTAGTCGCATCTCTGGCTGACCAACTGCGTTACGCATGCACCTAATTTGACATCCTATGCTTATCTGACTGCGACATTTGTATCGAATGGAAATGCTGCATTAAAATACCATCCACATTCAGTTGTGACCACCCATCGTTGATCAGTTTGCACGACCATTCCGGGCCGTTCGCATTGCTAGTTACTGTCTTTCCCCCACCCTAAGCAGCGTTGGAACTTCGTTGCATTTCAACGCACCCGGCTTACTTTGATTGCATTCATTCGTAGCTTAACTTAACCCAGAGCTGCTTCCGGGTTACGCCTGTAGCAGTCCATAGTCCATTTAACTGTTTTAATGTCACCGATTAGCACTTCTCTCATCATCTCTTTGGCTTCTGATAGCACGCTGGTTGCTCGGGTTTTGGGAAGCACGGCGTTGTTTTTGGATATTCAAATGTTCCTTACATGGTTTTACACGTGTCACGGCCTGCTTCTTACACGCCAACATTCGTGACTATTTTATAATAATTTAACTTTCAGTTAAATAGTTATTTCAAAATATTCACCTCTCCCTGCTCTTCATTGGTATACGCGTAGACACGCTTTCTGCTTCAATCCTCACTTTCCGAACGACCATTATTAGAACAAAAACCACCAACCACCTGCATTTCTTGGTACTTCACTTTCAGATTCATATAATATATCGCGTAAGCCTTTTTGAGACTGATAGTTATTGCAAAACCTGGAAGCAGAAACTTGGCACAGTGCTACGGCCGCCCCGTCCGATAATGTTTGCCTCTAAAAGACCGGACCGTTAGATTCATGCGTATAGGCTGAAATTAACTTCATAGGACCATCGCTTTGCTCTACACTCTATCCCGAGGTTCTTTGTATCAGCCGCTGTCACCCTCCTAATCTTATACGGCCATCATGGTAACTAAAAGCCGACTGGCGCTTTTCCCGGCATGTAGAGGACTATCTGATTCGGAAACTGCTGTGATGAACTCTCATTTAGTTAAACCACAGAGCAGTCATCACTTATCGGCAGATCCAATTTTTCCCCATAGCGATTTTCCACCAATTACTGGTCTTGCTTCTAGACAAAGAAAGAAGGTCGGAGTTCCCACTGGATGCACTTTAAATGCCCATTATCCCCATCCTCGTTTATTAACCTTCGGTTTTGTCTAGCTACCGTTTTTCTATACATTATACTTAAAGGTGCGAACGAAGTTTCGCTTTGCAGTTGATCCACTTGCTGTCACAGCGATGAAGAGACCAGAGAGAGGGACAAATAAAAACTAGTCCGAGACAGTGGGATTACGTTGATGCTATCGGATGCCGTTTAACATCAAGACCGACACTGGTCTCTCTACTACATCACACTAGATAGGGTATGCGGCCTTTCATGCATTTGGTCCTAGGTTCTCACGCGCCATTTGAACCTGTCCGCTTCGTTTATCTTGCCGTATGCTCCCTCACTGACCCTTGGTGGGGATCAGCTAGAAGTCGTTCAAAAATTCAACTGCCTGGGAAGTTGTACCATCGTCCGTGGGATTGAAGATGAGACCACGAACTGTATGGCAAAAGTTCGAGGTGCTTTTGCTAACCTTCGCCACTTATGGCGCCGCCGCGACATCACTCTCACCCTGAAGGGTAGAGTGTACAATGTGGCAGTACGTTCGACCCTACTGTACGGTTGTGAAACGTGGCCGCTTAAAGCAGCGGACCTGAAGAGGCTAGTTACGTTCGACCACCGGTGCCTTCGTAATTTAGCTCACATGTAGTGGGAACGCCGCGTGAGCAACGAGCGTGTTCGACGCCTTGTTTATGGCACAGGAAAAGGAACTGAACCGCTCAGCACCGTTATTTCACGCATCAGGCTCCGATGGCTCGGCCACGTATTACGCATGCCAGCCCACCGACTCCCGCGACGTGCGTTGTTTGCGCGCCGGGGTGTGGATGGAAGAAGAGGAGGGGTGGCCAAGCGATGACTTGGTCGAGAGGAATGAAGGCCCTCACTTCTGAGCTGGCCTCGGTTGGAGCGTCTCGGCTTCCTGGTTGGGGTCCGAAAGACGATGAACACGTTTGGTTGGACACACTTGCTGATATGGCTAGGAGCCGACCTCAGTGGCGTTGGTGCTGTGAGTTTCTTTGTCCCACCCCATCCCTCTTAGTCTCCCCCTCCAACCACGATCTCATTATTTAGCCTTATATAATTTTGCATAATAATTTTTTTTGGTGCACAGCAGCCGGCTGGTAGCTTACCGGAACGATGCTCATCCGTTACCGGTAGCTCAGCCAGCTTGCACCAGTTGCTTTTTCTTTTTTTCTATGTATTGCGGCACAGTAGCTGAGGTGTTCCCCACCTCTAGCTAACGTGTATGATGATGATGATTGCTCCCTCACTCCGTGACGTCATCAAATCATTCCCGGTGTCTGTAGGTTTAATACAGGGAGCTAGTTGTCGAAATATTCAACTCTCTGTTGAGTTTGGCCATGCCGATAAGACCTGGTGGTATTATACGAAGTGACCGTTATCGAAGTGGATTAGGCTCAGATCCAGAGACACTGAAGTAATAACGCTCAGTGAGAGCACACATTAATCGTATTCAGTGAAATCGAATTTACGTTATTTGATAGTACACGAAAACGAGAAGGGTGCAATATATTTCATGTACAATAACCAGATCCGCCACAGTTCAAGTGAAGTTGCGGATTTTTGTACTACCGGCGCTCTTTGTTCTTGTGACTATCAGAACTCCGCGATTGTTGTAGTGTAATTTTAGGAGCTTCTTTGTCCGTTGAAGTTGTCTTTGGAGTAGATTCGAACAAAGGATTGCTGGACTCATTACCAACAACCTCAGTATCATCGGGAGGATTACATTCAAATTGATCATAATGCCTATCATGTACAGAACCATTCGGTAATTCAAGTATTCCACACATACGCGAACTAAGGTGATCGGAGATCATTACCACTTCGGTAGGAAACTTCGGCGGATTCCAGGTATAACCTATTTGTACTAAGGACGCGTCTCTTGAGCAAATTTGTCGGGCTCTCTGCGGTGATCGAATGAGCAGCGTTCCAATACTGAATTAAGAACTTGTCAACGCCTCTCAGGCACAACAACCGTTGCTGCTTTGAGGGAGACAAGTGCCCTTTTGAATTCATGCACGGGTGACCTACCGGCTTAAGAGAGCTTGGACGGACAGTCGCTTATCACATACGCGGAGCACGCGTACGTTTTGACTTCACAGTTCCTCTTCGTCAACCAATCAATCAACCAACAACAGTAGTGCGTCAGCCATTCGGGCTGATGCTTCGCTTTCGTACAAGCATGATGACCTAAGGAATAAATAATAATAATAATAATAATAATAAGGGGGAATCATCTGAAAACTTTAATGCTCTAAGCAAACATTCAGGGTCAAGGCGCTTACACCTTGTATAGACAACTTACCGTCACAAACAGCTAGCTGTCGTGGAAAGATAAGACGGCATCGGCGAGACAGCTTGCATGCGGGTTTCACTGCCCCGCGTCATAATCAGCCATTACTCCACAGATAATTCAACACCAAACACACTTTAAACTAGCAGTCCAGCTAGGAGACGACGGCAGGCGTGCCACTGGTATCGATTGCGAGCCGTGTCCTTAACGTTTCAAGCTAAGCACAAGGCGGGTCACGTTGACTCCAGCCCGGAAGGCGAGACGCACCAACGGCACCCAGTTTGATCGTCAGTGACTTCAATTCCTGCTGCCAAGTCAACTTCTGACCATCTCGATCCTTGCGCCATTCTACACCTGACAGACTAAACAATGCCCTCCTAGGTAAGCGATGACTAGGCATACGTGGCACGTGCCCAAGGCAACGCAACTTATTCAGTGCTATTTGTTGTTCTAGGGAGTTAGCATGATTATCACTACCTAGTACTCGCCTATGCACATCATCGTTGCGGACATGGTGCAATCCGACACCAGCAATGCTTCGCATACAACGATGATCAGAGACTTGAAGGCGCCTCAGATCTTAGACCGAAGGGGCCAAGTTTTACTACCACAGAGCAAGACGGCCAGCACTGTGGACTTGTATACACAGCCTTTCAGACGGAGGGAAATTCCCTTATGTCACCAAAAATACCGGAGGTTCAAGAAGGCAGTTCTGGCCTTTGCAATGCGTGAACTGACTTCAGTTTTTTATGCGCCCATCGTTGCTGATGCAGCTGCCAAGATAAGTGAATTGATCAAACACCTCGAGTTCCTCGTTAGCAAGGGTCAAGGGGTCATAAAGTGGTTGGCGGGCCTGCAGCAACACTTTGCACTTTGAAAGTACAAAGCGCATACCAAACAATGGGACCACACTGAACAGGCTATTCAGGGTTGATTGTGCCACCGCAGCATCGTCGAAAAGCAAGACGATATCGTCCGCATAATCAAGATCAACTAACCTTTCACCAAGCGCCTACATCGTGAAATTCTGCAGGGAAACAATCCATGATGGAATCCACGACGAAATTGAACAGAATTGGGGAAATCGGACAACCGTGACGAACGCCACTATCCGATAGGCCGCCGCACACCCTGACGCGGCCTGTTGTGTTCGAGTATAACACACGAAGGATGTCCACATATTTCGTGGGAACACCTTTCCGCGCAGGTATTTCGAACAGAATGGATCGATTGACTGAGTCGAACGTACTCTTGAAATCGAGGAACACAGCTATTATCGGTCTGCGGTATGCGTGGCGCTGCTCTGGCATCTGCCGCAGAGTGAATATATGGTCTCTACAGCCACGTCTTTGGCGGAAACCTGTCTGCTCTTCCCTAATCCGAGATTCCCGTTCCTCAGTCGGGCGACGAACGAGAATCGAGGCCAGTACTTTTGTCATAACTGGCGTTTGGCTTATTTCCCTGTGGTTAGAACAGTTTGTGCGACTGTCCTTCTTGTATATTGTTACCATAATCTTTTCACTCTAGTTAGCCGGGACACTTTCTTTCACCTACGCTCGTCAT